CGTGTTTGGGATGGATTACAGCAGGGGGGCTGTTGGACTGGTATATTTGTCAAGGTATTGGGTATTGGAGGAAGGATTTGGCATGTTCTCGTAAGTCATGGTTGAAGCTTTTGTGCTTCCAAAGGTTATTTGAGCTGGTCAATAAGTTGAAAAATGAATGTTTACCTGAGGAATTTGTTCTGAGTAAGTCAGGACGTTGGACACGCTTTCCCGGAGTTACCTGTCCCTGTTCTGACGTGATTCTGATGTAATGTGTATCTTCGCTGGGTATTTTTCCAAGGGCATTTGTTTGTGTTTTGACTTGTTGAGTATTTGGTGAAGCATTTATTGACAGACCTTTTAGGAGATAGTAATTTGATATCATCAGAAGATTTGAAAGATTTCGTAGAGCATGTTCTATTGGGAGATCGACAGATTTCGTAGAACATTGTTTTGTTGGGAAATTGTTTGAATTGGAATGAATGGTGGATGATTTCCGTTTGGATGCGTAGTTTGATTTTTCGCCGTTTTACCTGGCAATGATAGTTGTGGCGGGGATTTCGTAGATCGTATCTCGTACCAAGCAGGGGGGCTGTTTGGGGTGCTCGGCAGAATATACTGTCTATGGGGCCTCTGGGGGGTACGCGGATGAAACGTGTTGATTGGCATGCTGCATGGCGATGGTGTTGCCTACCGCATGTCTCTCACTCTTTAAGCAACAAGGTCTTGAGTCAACCTTCTTTCTCTTTCGGCCTCTGACGGGCTACCGCACCCAAACACGAGGACACCCGCCGGTGTACTATCGACCGTGCCCGAGGCTCGTCTGATGGACCCGGCGCCAGTTATCGCCACCGAAAGCCGCCGAAACTGGCTCTTTTTTACGGGGTGTCAATTCTGAAAAAATGCAAACAGGCAGTCGTACTTTGATGGCATAAGACCTGAAGGCACATCCGTGGAGCTTTTCCGAATGAACACACGCCGCCCTTCTCCTCACTTGCAATATTCCGTTCCAATATGAATCTGCCTCTTTGTGAACGGTTCATACACCCCGGTATTGTTCTGTTTCCGTTCGCCGGTCAGTACCATACAACAAGTATATTTGCCGGCAGAACTCCCACACAGCAGAGAAGCTGCACGAAGCCCACATGACCATCGCCAAAGCACGACAACTTCGGACAGTAGTACGTCAGACTACAATAACACATGCGACGACATGAGAAATCAGGATACTTCCAACCGTGGAGCTTTTCTCGAAAATTGAACGCAGACACTTCCCTCAGATCCAATATCCCGTTCCAATACGAATCTGCCGCTTTAAAACGGCTACAATTACCCCCGGTATTGTCTGTTTCCGTCCGCACGTTTGGATCATCAATTTTTCCCGGAAAAATTCCATATAGCAGAGAGGTTGCACGCAGCCCACATGATCATCACCGATGCATGATAACCTTCGATTCCAGTACCTCAAGCTACAATAACGCATGTCACGGCATGACAGATCAGGATGAATCTGTCCGTGGAGCTTTCCCCAACGATTACACGTAGATCTGTTCCACACTCGAAGTCGCCCGTTGCAAAAAAAAATCAATCTCACTAGACTAGTCTGCTACTGCCGTAGGATCCGCACAATCTGCCTTTTTGTAAGATATCCTTTTTCGTTTCCTCGGTTGCGCTGAGAAAACCAAAGTTTCTTCTCTTCGCATATCCATGTACAGCAATCTAAGTGTGCTGCAAGACCGACGTCACAGCTCCAGATTGTCGCAGTTCTATGTTATTAACGTGAATGTCTGTCATGCCTTTAATTTTATCCCACGTGCTGCGGCGCAACGGGAGCTCGTGAGCACCATTGGTTACGGGGGACTAGTACGGCACGGGGCATCTAAGGGTCATCCTTACAACGGATGTAGGATGTGTTCCACACTTACAGTAGTAGGTTGCTGGTTCACAGCCCACTACATACAGCGCTGTTCAGCACTACCCTCACCGTCATGTCCCACCCTCATGCATGTGCCACTAATAACGAGTTGATTGCTGCAACACAGGTGTACGGCTTGAATTTTCGCATAACCATCCACGGCCAGCCATACCCCGACCCTCCGTCGCCAAACACGTGTGACATTCTGTATTACCCGAGTTCTCTTCACTACGTTACCCTTCGCTACAATGCCTTTCAGTGAAGATGTTTGTATGTTGTGTGCGTAAATACATTTTTGTATACCACCACCGCTTCTTCGGTTGCATTTCTGTGACTTGCGTCGCCCCCGAGAGGCATGTACCAACGTTCCGAAGGGGAGACTTGTACATATGTACCACCTCCTGTCTTGTCCACGCTTGTGACGCCGCTTTCGTTACAAAACAGACACGAACGGCACTTGAAACAAGAAAGCGTTTTGGAGTCTTCCGCAGTACTCCTCACTACGTGGTGGTAGTGTCGTTCTTCGTGCGACGCCATCTTGCACAAGGCCTACAAACGGCACTAAAGTAAAATTTTGTTGGGGAAGCACCTACCTGTGGGCGTACGGCAATCTATTTGTTTATGATGATCGTGTGAGAGTGCCAAGCCAGACGACCAAGTGTGCACCAGGTCTGTTGTGTTTCAACATGCGAGGGTGTTGGGCCGTGGCGGCTGCGTTTCTACTGTTGTGTGCGAGACGTTGCTGTGTTTCCAACGGGAACAATCCGACCTGCCATTTGCTATGTCTGCATGTTCCGCACACTCCTAGGCTGTACCAGTGCTTGTGTGTCGATTGGAGCCTTGGTGGGGTATTCAAGGCTATGTACCGCCCACCAGCGTCTGGCATGCTGGGGCAGCTGAGAAATTTCCCAAACCACCCATGGCCTGCACCAAGCCAATTTGGCTATACGACGGGTCCCACGATAGCCCCATGACACAGATTACTGACTCTTCCCTTCGGCCCCTTCATTCCCATGGCACGACGTCATTCCTTGACATATATTCCGTCTCTTCTTGGGTCACCTTTATCTCTCTCCTATCTTTCTCACTACAGTACTTCTATTCGTCGTGGTCGAAAAAGATCGACGATCGTATCGAACCTAGACGCGCAGCAACACGTCGACCGTTCTCGCACATCTACCCGACTTCTTCTACCTTATTATGCCCCCCCGCCCACCGGGGGCGGGGGGGGCGATGCTTCGCCCGAAGAATAAACCGACTAGAAGGCGTTTCGTGTTGGAATACACAATATCCCATACACACGTCTTAGTATCCGGGATTCATACTACGATACTAGAGCCTGAACCATGAGAAATATGGACTTACTGTACCGTTATGAAATCCTCTACAAAATACGCCTTGAACAATTCGACCTAAGCGCCCGAAAAATAAGGGGTGGGGGAGATAGGGGTAGCCGCGCTTCCAGATTTCGCGCTTCCAGATTTCGGAAGTGTGCCTTCCTTGTCCTCTTTACTTGGGGGTCCGGAACACTGAAATACGCGCGCTATTAGACAAGCGTTAGCGGGGCATAGGTCAAGGTGCGACCGAGGTTTGTACATCCGGGTGTAAGGGCGCAGTAGGGTATGCTGGAAGCCATTGGTGTCCTCTTCGTTGCGTACTTCCTCGCGGTTCGATCACGACATGGCACTTGTTGATGCGCATCTTCTTGCCTCAGATATGACTTGACATGTCGTCCAGCTGGAGAAAAATGCATGATTGTGTGCATAGTCCACTTGTTTCTCGGATTTCGACCACTGGTTGCTCCCTACGATGAATCACGCTGCGTCGTGCATTGCGGGAAATTGCGTAGAAGAGGCGCCGTCAACAAATCAACAAGTATGCCTTCAGTTCTGCGTTCATACCCCCAAGAATACGGCACACCTCCCTGCGAGTGCGCGGGGATCTGACAATCCCTGGCAATCAATGCAGTACCGCAGACCTGGCCCCAGGCTGCAGATAATTATTACAAGCCCAGTCAATTTGCTGTCGTTGTTGTTTTTTTATTCCGTTTGCCCTGCGGTCCCCACCCCGCTATTGTACGAGGAAAGCTTAATTTGGTGCACCATGCCCATACCCTTCACCAGTACTTCCACATGCGATTCCGGCTGCCATGGTTCTGCTTCACTTACCGTATGAGTCTAGACGCTGTGGATTGGCCCCTAAGCCAAGACTATGACGTTAACGCCACAAACCTCTACAGTGTTGATTGACCCCAAGCCGAATGCTGCTCGATGAGCATGCCCCGGTTGACAATGTGAAAATATGGTGAAGTCGTTTTATTGGTCGTCCTCGTAGACACAAGCAACGGGAGAGAGTGGGCACCCGGGTGCATAACAAACACCGAAGCACGCGAGCAACAATCGCAAGACACATTCGGAACTTCGAACACACGACAGAGCGGAACGTGCGACAACTTGCCAAAGATTCTGCTACCTCCGGTACCCCGAAGATCCAAATGACCGATGGACGGCCACGCACTTGCGCAGCTGCATATGTAGCTCAAAACCACACATGAGTACTACCGCAGTAGCATTCGTAAGGATGACATAATCCACCTCACGAACAGACGCATCGTTCTAGATGTCACGCCTAACACTAGGTTCTTCGCTAGTGGCTACCGCAGACTATGATCACCTAAGTGCTGTTTGTCATTGCCAAGAGTATTGAACTTTTCATGTGGCGCAAATTGCCACTCTGTCGCCCCCGTGGTCCAGACGGTAACCTCGAAACAATCTGGGGATGTTGGGTTCGCGTCTCGTAATTAGTGTCGGCCATAGTGGCACACGCTCGTCCGTGAGCAAGCAAGGAGAGGTAAGGGGCTGACCCATTTCTTCTCGCCTCACACATAGGTGGCAGAGGGATTTCTGTGGGCTCCCAGACTCGAGATATGTTTTCCACGGTGCTTTTGGTGTGCCAAATTGCGCCTGATATTCCGGACTTGTGTGAGAGAAAAGAAGTTTGTTTTCTGTACAGTTTTTTTATGTACTACCACACTTTGCGTTCTTCATTTGACATCACAGCGGTTTCTGAAGCAAGGTTTCAAGAGCACGCGACACTCACTCCTGTGATGATGTGGGCAAACATATGGAAACTGTTGGGAGCCACCATGCTTCCAATGTTTACGGTAAGTGCAAGCGATTGCCATCGTCAAAAAATATACCGACAATATCGCGGCCTCTGATTATATGTGGACAGTGCTTGAGTTTGGGGCCACCATGGTTGCCTGTTCGCCTCTCCCAAACTCAGCATGGACTGGTGTTTCCCTGTGGTTTATCTCTGCTTACCCAGGGTCGAGAGCCCGCAAGGCGGTTTCCTTAGTGAGGTGTACGTATTCAAATGCCGCAATGGATCGGAAAGAGTTGAAGGCAGGGAGGACTCATATGGAATTTGCTCCTGGTGCAGTAATTGCCGTTCGCCCATACCTATATGTTTGCTTGAAAGAAGCCGCTCACAACAACTCCAACAGGCTGGAACTGGGCTGGGTATGACAAGTACCACGGAAGACGGAGGCGTAATCGCGGTTCGAGATGGAGTCGTGGTGCAGGTATGTCGGACATATTTGTGCCACCCTCTACAGTAGTCAGACGATCGCGTCCAACACGGGAAATTCTCTCCATTTCTTCATCATCTCGTTGCTTGGCTACAACCTTCTTGTTTCGCTGTGCATGGTGTTCCTTATGGTTCCAGAGATAAGTGTTTGGGTTCCGGGCCATTTTGGTCGTTCTTGCTTCTTGCACCAGGGAACTTGTTGTTGGTCTTCCTGAGCTCGTGGAATATATCGCATATTGCTCCCCCTTTCTGCCTTCTGCTCCGCAGATGTCGTCGTGGTGATGGTGTCCCCACTCAATATGCGAAAGTGTTGAAAGTGTTCATCGGTGAGAGTGCGCGGCAACTTGAATCGCGGTTGTTGAGACGTCGACGGCGGAATTGCGTCATTGCAATATTGATATCGTGTGTGCCTGCTGGTGTTTCCGCTATCGAGCCCCGAATTCCCGCCCTGACCCCGAGTTAGAACACAAAGATCGACAGAACCCTCTGTTTGATTGAATGTAATGATGAATTTGTCATATATTTTGTATTTCCCCCCTGCAGTTCCAGCACGCTGAAGTCGGGGTCATAACACTGGACGTTTCATTTATCAAAACTGAATCAATACTGCAGCCGGTCGTCCCGGTGGTCTAGCTGGTAACCTCGAAACCACCCAGAAGTCAGGTCAGGGGTTCGACTCCTGGCGTAAGCGAGCTTTTCTTGCAAAGTGAGTTTTTCTCTCGCTTCCGCTCATGGCCTAGTGGATAGACCTAGTTCGTGTGTACACAGAGGGAAGAGAATGCCGAACTCTTCTCGCATTAGAAATCGAAGGCAAAGTACCGCAGGAGGGGAGAGTAGAGAGGGGCTCTTCTTTGTGACCACGGGTTTGAATAAACGGCACTAGTGCTGTGATCGCTGATTTGAAGTGAAGACCAAACAAAACAAAAAAAAACGAGTTGAGCAAACCGCAACCCGAGTATCCGAAAGGTGGTGTACTCACGACGGCACAGATGCTGTACGGCTGCTGCTTTTGCTGTCGCGCTCGTGCCTAGTTCTCACGCGGCACGAGGAAGAAGAGTCTCCACACCCGCACACCATGTACACATCTCTACCCAGTTGCAAACCAACGCCACCTCGTTCACAGCCTATCTATTCGTTGTTTTGCTGCACACTGAACTCCAAGTCGGGGTCTGGTTTTCTGAAAACGATCAAGACCCGAGACACTTTTGGTCCCCGAGTTCTGTGGATCTTTCTTTTTTAACTCGGGGTCGGGGTGGAAACGTGAGGGACACAAAAGGGATTCAAAGTTCGAGGCCGGACACAGGGGCAGAAGAAAACAGATCGTCTTAGTAAGTAGGCGGGTTCTGCGCGAGGGCGACTGTACAGGGAGATGGTTGGAAAAGGGTAATGTCACAGAAAAGAAGGTCGCGGTTAGCGGTCCGCGGCTCCTCATGATAGATCTGTAGGTCGATTGGGAATAGGAAGGCGCAAACCGAAGATATGTGTTGTGGATGATGAAGGCAAGGAGAGAAATATAATAAACAAACTCCGCACATAAGGAGGTTGGCACCGGCCAAAGATGTGAGAGTCCGTTGAGACGGACATGACGCTCATTGCTCCGTTGCCGATTAGTTAGGTGTAGAGCATGTGGTGCACTTAATGATAGGAACGAAGTAGTTGGTATTATGAGGTAATGAAGACGAACGTGAAGCGCAAGTGAGCTATCTGTCGCTTCACCATCGTCTGTTCGACCCACGACGCACGGTACACGCGCGAGTCCCAAGGTAAAATACAGCAATCTGACGATAAGCGAGGGGGTTACGCCCCCCCGGTATACAAAGACGTCGTATGTCGATTGGAACGGAAGAAACCGGAAAAATTCCATCTATACGAACACGTATTGGACGATGTCGCTGTCGTTGTTGGAACGGCGGCACAACGGATACCCCCTATCGTCGAACGTTGTGGCAAGCTGATGAGGCTTAGGGCCGTTTTAATCGATGTCCAAAAATCCAAATTTTGTACAAATCTCCAAAAAAGCTCCAAAAATTTGGAACCCACCGTTCCAAATTTTTGACATAAATTTGGAACGAAGTCGGGCCCGAAAATTTGGAGCCACTAGCTTCCAAATTTTGGAAGCCTTTTTGGAGCACTTTCCAAATCACCCTTACAGACGCACGCGCGGGCTGCGACGGCTGCAACACGAGTGCCCCTCACCAGCGACGTCTACAACACGAGTGCCCCTTACCATAGGAAACCAGCTAGGGTTGTGTTTGGGGCATGGGCGACCGTAGAAAGCGCGGCGCGGCTACAGAATGTAGTGGCTCCCTTCGCCCACGGGCACGCGCTCGGCCAACACACACCCGGGACGTCCTCGACAAGCTCGAAGCAATAGCGGCGATTGTGCTAGTGCTGACTGTCGCCACATCGACTGTCGTTCAGCGCCTAACACCCAAGACGCGGCAACGTATCCACGAGCCGTGACGGCTGGTTTGGGACGAGCACTTAGATGATGTGAGGCACAGGAAGCTGTTCCGACGCATGTACAGGATGGAGGAGCACAGCTTCGACAAGCTCGCGGAACGTTTACGACCCATCCTCGAGCGCAACGACTTCTACGCAAGTAAGAGATATACCCACACAGGGTGCGTCCGCGTGTGAGGAAGAGCGAGTAGGGTTAGGTTTCGTCAGGGTTGTCTTGCCGTCGCGAGCGCAGCCGCCGGTTTGCACTTGTATTTGCTGCTCACCGCTGATGTCCGAAAGATGAATTGGCACCGCCAGGGACATCAGCAGCGCAGGAGACGCCTTGGAGATGGCATGTGCGCTGATGTCCGTCCGGCGATGCGCCTGACAAGTGCTTGGGCTTCGAATTTACCGGTACATCCATGCTTGTATTCTTGTTGGTCGCGTGGTGCAGGGTTGCGCGCGAGCAGTGGAGCTGTGCCGGTGAAAATTCGGCTGGCAGTTGCGCTGTGCATGTTCGCAGGGGCGTCATACATCGATGTCGGCTTGCTGTTCGGCATTTCGAAGGAGTCCGTCTTCCACATCATGTGGCAAGTGGTGGACGCCATCAACAACACGCCGACGGTTGGGCCGTTCTTTTTTCCCCAGACACCAGAGGAGTGCTCCCGGTAAGCGAAGGAGTGGGAGGTCGGTGCATGTGTGTTTGTATCATAGGTGTTGTACTTTAGTCGAAAATCGTGTGTGGTCTCCCATGCACTTCTACTATTGCGGGAAGGGAATCTCTGGCATTTTCCCCTGCATCCCCTCACTCAGCAACATAGAAGCGAACGTGTTGTGGAGTCCAAGAACGACTCTTACAGAGTGGGCGCCTGTGTGTTGCATGACATTTCGTAAATACCCAGTCCTACACTCAAAATTCCGGACAACAGCACGCAAAATTCAACAGGTTACTACTGCCTACCTCCGGCCCCGTACGGCGGTAGACTAGTGCTGTAGATTTTTTTCACCCTCCCAATAGGTTGACATCAGACCCATAAGCGTGGTCAAAACGCGCGCGTCCACCCTTACGTTGGGAAGGTCGGCAACATTTTGTTCCATGCGGGAGGCGCTATCGCCCCCGAACCTTCATTTCGCCCGCCGATAAGGTAGTAAGCTATACCACGGCTGTACGAACCGTCGGCCACGCTCTGATGTACTATTGTGTGTTTACGGGCGTCTGTCCTCACACACCTACGAAAAGATTGTCACGTGTGTATGTCGACTCGGGTCATACAAGAGGGTAATGTGGAATAGCTTTGTTGTTGGAGAACGTACCTAGTAGGCTCGTGCGTTGCTACAAAATGCTCGTTTATACCACACCAACCAGAGAAGGGGTGTGTGTGTGATCATCAGCTACATACATCGCAGCCCAAGAAAAAACTTTCTCTGTTTGTTCTTCTCTCTGGTTGGAGCTTTGATCTATGCACTGTAGACAACTCCAAAGCGTGTGATTTGTGGTCAGACTAGCACACAGAAGGGACAGGCGGCACCCCAGGCCCTCGCACAAAAGTATGGAGAGGTTTACACATTGATCATCAATAGTGGTGTCTAGCCGCGTGTTGGTGTGCATCTTGTCCTCTCCCACTTATGACAAAAACGCTGCCGCTCGCGAAACGCACAACACAACCAACGCTTCTTCTCGTCTCCTCTCGCTTCCTCCGCCGATAGCAAACAGCTGTAGAGTACAGGGCACACCCTCCCGCCTTGCTCTTCCGGTGGTGTGTGTGTGTCTCCCGCCCCCCATGTCCATCAGCCCTGTCTCTGTGTAGCGTGTGTGTTTTGGCACAGGAGCAGCACCTGCTGCTGAGCACACCGACCGGCGGAACCAAAAACAATCACGCCTGCCTGTGATTTTGGGCGAGGACGCTTGGTTCTCTACTTCAATTTCGCCGCAGATGCTGTGCTAGCTCGATGCACCGAGCACGGATTGAGCTGGAAGCAGTTGTGACAGCTCGGGCAAAATTCTACTTTTTTGTGCACCACTCTTGAATTTTCAATTTTGTGCCTAGATGGCGCAATGAACTCGAGTCTCCTGTGTATTTATCGGCACACAGACACGGCCGGACACACTCGCTGCGAAATGGCCCCCCTGTGCACGATTTTTTGTTTTTTCACGTACGTACATGCACATCACGATCCCTCTAAACAGCTTTTTCTTGCAAAAAAAACAATTGGGCCGCTCTTCATCAAAAATGCTATAACAACAGCAAAAAGCTACAGTACATCTCTCTAACTGTGGCTCGTTGTTCTCTACCCCCCCCGGCGCCCCCCCCCCCC